ATTTTAATGAAGTTTATATATTCAAAATTATATTGGATTATAATGCTCCTTTTTTCGTAGTTGTAATTAGTTAAAAAACAGATAGTTTCAACAACAAAAACAGGAAAGTTAAACAAAAGAAAATATCAAGAAATAAATAAAATGCAGATTTCATAACAGCGGAAAAGGTTATTTCATCTTATTAGTTAATCAGTAAGCATTAAAAATGTCTATGCAGAAAATTTCATATTTGAGTCATTATTAGTCGATAAAGAGCTAATGCAGAAGAAAGTTAACAAGAAATAAAATTCAAGTAAATATAGCCCTTCCTGGACCAATTTGCAATGAAGTTAAGGTGCTTGACTTCACATAAAATACTTTGTTTTGCCTTTAGCTTTAAGCTCGTTTGAAGCAATATTCCACTAAAAAAATAACAAAACTCGTCAACATAAGAAGCTTTTGTAGGTTCTTCTCGATCTTAATCTAGAGAGTTTTTAAAAAGTCATAAACTATTATAATTAAGTAGATGTTGACAAAAAAATTATTAGAACACATAACACCGTAACATTAATGCAAAACAGCATAAACAAAATTCAACTATCTAGGTCGAATTCCCATAAAATTCAGATGCATTGTCTCAAGCTTTCGAATCGGAATTTGGCTAGGTCAAATGTTGTGGTGGGGCCATTCATTTGCACTATATGGGAAATTATGTTACTATATAAATGGGGCGATATTAACTTAGAGTTACATTCAACTTATTTGAAACGTAACGAACATGTTCTCTAAAGTAAGTAGACATTTATTGTTGGGTTGGTTTTGCTGTGAAGTGCTGATGATTAATGTGAATTTTGGGAGCGGAGTTAATGTGTAGAGTGAAAATTGGAAAATCCGTTCAGAATTAGACGTAATACCTTTTATAGGGTTGCTTCTCATTGCTATTAAAGTGGTCTGGAATAGACGACAGAGTTTACATGAAACTTGAGTTTCCTTTTACAGTTAGGCTGTTTTAATACAGTTAATTTGTAAATGTTTTTTGCAGATTCTTGCCATTGCTACTTTGGTGGCTGTTGCCCAGTCTGGATACGTTGACTATTCCGGAGGTCATGCATCCTCCTACGCATCTGTAGCCGCCCCCGTTGTTGCCGCTTACGCAGCCGCCCCTGCATACTCCCACGGATACCCATCAGCCCACGAAAGCCAAGACTACTACTCCCACCCCAAATACGAATTCAACTATGGAGTCCAAGACCCCCATACTGGTGACCACAAAACTCAGCACGAAGTTCGCGATGGCGATGTTGTAAAGGGTTCCTACACTGTGGCTGAACCCGATGGTACCTTGAGGACTGTCCACTATACTGCTGATGACCACAATGGCTTCAACGCAGTGGTGGAGAAGTCTGGACATCCAGTCCATCCAGCTCCAGCTCCAGCCAAGGTTATTGTTGCCGCCCCAGCTCATTATGCCGCCCCAGCTCATTATGCCGCCCCATCTCATTACGCCGCCCCAGCTCACTACGCCGCCCCAGCTCACTACGCTGCCCCAGCTTATTACCACCATTAAATCCAAAGATCTAGAAAATGATGATAATTGCGATGTGAAGTACCGAACGATGGAGATGTGTGAATTATTTATTATTTTTGTGTATATACCAGAAGCAATTAATATATTTTTGCAGTATCTGCATTAAGTATCTGTCTTTGTTTGGTTTGTAGAATTTTGTTGCAAGTTTCATATATTCAAAAGCTCATTTTGGGAATTGCCGCTTGTAGTAATTTGGGCAACAAATAAGGACTACCGGGAAGCTTGAAAAATTGCAGTTTGAATGCAGTTTCCGCTCAGTTTTTGTAATGGTAGAAAAAAACGATTATTTGAATGACGCAATTAAGGCATCGATTTTCAGATCGACCGATAAGCCAGTGCATTTTATCGAAAGTAAAACTCAACTGTTTTCTCTTAGAAAACACATGGTTTTTCCATGTAAGTCTCCTATCCAGGTGAATTTCGCGATATTTTAAGTTTGCTGCTTGTGGCAGCTGGTAGGACATGCTTCTCTTCCCTTATTAAAAGCTTTGTGTTTGAACTTTGCCTCGCTCGCCCTAATTCGCCATTATTTAAAACAATTTTGGATGCTGTCGAAATTCACTTGCACATTTCGCTTTAATTTCGTCGGGTTCGTATGAGTTGAAAAATGGCCATCAGCAAATGCGGGTAACAAATTTTTAATTAAAAGCAAAAAGAGTAAAAATAACTAAATGATTTGCTGATAATCAAGCGCATCCTAAAGTAGCGGTTTCAAACATATTAAATTAAATGATAAATGAAAGCTGCCCTAGACACGCGTGCAGGAGATATGCCTGAAAACATCTATGTTTTCCAAACATTTGTAGCTGAAAATCGGCAAATACATTTTTTCTGGTTCACTGGCTCGTGTTTCTATTTGATAAATGCTGCTGTTAACAGCCAAATGCATTAAAATATCATTTGCTTTATTACCGCCAGTTTGTTCAAACAAGCCCCAAAATGCGAATTTTGGCTGTGTAATTAAAATACTTTTTCGGTTAAGTACAAATACTCTATAACCGGTCTATTTTGTGCGTTCTACTTAATAATTAAACAAATGGAAGCTCTAACACGTTTTTAAACAATGTATTTTAATAATTTTTTCTCTATTTTTCGCCAAATCATTCAGCTTTTTTCTCTTCTCGCATTAGCACCCTAGATATGTCGGTATGTTTAAGAAACGAAAAAACCATCGGTTTTTGTTGAAAATGCGTGACAAACTTATTCCGTTGTGTCGATGATTAATTATCTTCTTACAAGCAGAATCTCGCCTCAATTGATTTTTACTTTCATAATCGGTCCGAATATGATGCTTTAGCGTTTTAAAATATTTATAATTAAATTCAAAAAAATTGGTAAAGATTTTTTGTTGCTCAATTTTATACATTTGCAATAACTAAATTCAGTGAAAGTATGGGTTGGCCTATGCACAAAATATTGAGTTTTTGATTGACTGTTTGAAAAATAACGGTGTCTAGTGTTTCACTCTTGCGTTTTCTTTTTCAGTGTTCACATCAAATCTTTTCAAGTGTTAACAAGAGGAAGACTTTTCTAAAAGAAATTAAAAAAATGTTTTAGGCGCACATACATTTAAAATGGTTTTCCAGGAAGCCTGTAAGTGTGTTCCAAAAACAATAATACATTGTAAATAAAATTGTATAATTAACTCCATCAGATAGACGAAAGAAGCTTGGGCAACAATATATGAATGATTATATTTAAATAAATGAAGTGCACAAATACCTAGTGGGTTGGCCAGATTGCTCAACATTCATCAACAGCAACCATTTGCTAAAAATAATAAATAATTGCACAATTTAACGACAGATATAGAGTGGAGACGTCGACTCTAAAGGTCAGGACGATGAACCAGCTGGAGGCATTTGAAATGTGGCGCCACAAAAAATGCTTCATATTCGGCCGACAGAACATGTTATACACGAGAATCTGTCACGAAAAGAAAACATTGAAAGACAACTCTTAGCGACCGTAAAATGCTGAAAATGTTCGCATCTTTGGATCTTCGGACATGTTTTTGATTATATTATTAAGATCGTAGTGAGTCCGAAGTATTTGAGACGACTGGCATTAGAAGAGCTTGAGAAAACTTCTTTCATATGGAAGGTAATGAGCTCCCAATTACAGATTCATAATATAGTTTTCTCAAAATATACATTCCATTCAAAATCCAAGCAAAAATGGTTTTAAATTGAAATTTTGAATAATTCTGTATGGAATCTGAGAATTGTAAAAAAAGTCTTTAATTTCATTTCAAGTTCATTCAGATCAGGTAAAAGGAATGGAAAAGATCGGGCAAATTTTGTCAAAACTTGAGACGAGAAGAACGTTTATTTTTGTAAAAACATTTTCGTTTGGTGTTTTGACTCAAAAGATTTGTCTCTGGAAAAAGCAGATTTTCCTCACGTCTTATATTACAGACTCATGTTGCTCTCGTTGCACAAAAAACATGTAAATTTTTTTATCGTTTTCAATAAATTATTTTATTTTTATTTTTAACACATGATTGATTTTCAAACATATAGAACGTGTCTAAGGCTGGACATCTAAGTTTCTACTTTTACCAGAAATAAAAATATTATTCATTCGCAAAAAATGCGGTTTTGGAACATACCAAGATAACGATAGACAGTCGAGTGTTAAACAAAGAATTGAAGCGAACTTGTGAGGCTGGCGAGAGTTGGATTCCAAGGGAATAACACTCAGAAGGTTTTCTGTAGATTTATCAGACTCGATAGTAGAAGAGTTTCTAGATAATAATAAGTTCTCAAACGGAAGTTGCCGTTTGGTAGCTTTTTTAAATGGTTTCCGCTTAGTACGGACCAGAAATTTCCCGCTCAATCCCCTGTCCACGACTTATATTACTCATGTTAAGATTTGAATAGAACTATAAAAAATAAGCTGTATTTTTCTTAGCATCTTACAACATCTAAAAAATGAATTAAATACGTCTTTTGGACAGAATTAATTGTCGAACGGTTAATACAAACATCAGGCTCATTAACAACAGAAGCTGATATTGATCACGATACAAATTGTAACCCAGAGCGGTAAACCCACGAAACAATATATCTGGGTCAAATTTTCGGATCAGTTAAAATACTTTCAAATCGCAATTTTGTTGAGGACAAGTAACCGAAAAAATTATGGAGGGGTTATCAGTTCACACCTTGTGGGTTGTATTCAAATAACATATAAAAAGGTCCAAAGATCTAGTTTAGGTATAGTTGAATTTAATACATCGCTAGAAAATGTTCACCAAAGTAAGGGCAGTGTTTTGTGTAAAACCCCAACTTAACTTTTCTGTAATTGCAGGTATTTGCCGTTGTTGCCTTTGCAGCTGTAGCTCAAGCTGGCTACGTCGACTATGGGCATGCTTCAGCTTATTCTTCAGTATCAGCCCCTGTAGCCTCATACGCCGCTCCATCCATCCCTCTTCCTTACTCTCAAGGGCCCGCTTATGACAGCAAAGACTACTACGCTCCTCCCAAGTACGAATTCAACTACGGAGTTCAAGACCCCCATACTGGAGACCACAAGAGTCAGCACGAGATCCGTGATGGAGATGTCGTTAAGGGCTCTTACAGCGTAGCTGAAGCTGATGGAACTTTGAGGACTGTCCACTACACTGCTGATGACCACAATGGATTTAATGCAGTAGTTGAAAGGTCTGGACACCCTGTTCAGCCTGCTCATGTTCCAGCACCCGCTAAGCTCGTAGTAGCTGCTCCTGTTCAGTATAAATATGCTGCACCTGCTGCACCCCAATATTACCACCACTAAATAGCTGTGATTGGGTGGTTTCACATTGAAAATACAGATTTTGCCATAATATTCCTCAAATTTTGTAAGGAAGGTTTGAAGCATGGATTCTCTTATTGTAGGTGTAGTTAATTTATTGCAAATAAAAGTTTAATTGATAACATATTTGTTTCACTTTAGTCTAGCGGTCTTTGAATGAACATTTTGCTTTTGCTGCTTTAGAAAATATACATAGTAAAGTGTATAGAGTATTTAATTTTATTGGGACAAAGACTCTTAATGGATGCGTACAGTAAAAAAAAAGTCTGTCGGTTAATATGGTTGGACAAAAGCTGAGTATTTGAAAACCCAATGGTTTATTTTAGGTCATATTTCTGTACGACATATATAAAATTCATTCATTCATCAAGTTTGTAAAGACTGGAAATACAAACGCGCCTTAAATTGAGTTGTTACTGAATAACTCAAATTTGTGTAGGAGGGTGGCGCTATCTTGCAAAGCTCCTATTTATCCTGTTTTTTTAGCGTTGAATTTTGCTAATGGGTTTGCAAGTGTATAATGTAAATCGGTCCGCTTAACTTTATCGGCTTCTAAAGTACAAGCTTTTGCTTGATTATGAGATATTTTTTCTCAGTTAGTAAATTGAAGTTTTCTATGTACCTTAGAGAAAGTTTGAGTTTTTATTTAAACTACTTTTTGAGCTTTGAATGATTTCAAATGTATGTTCAAGTGTCCAATATATCTTAGGGTGCTTCTAAGGTAAAGAACACTTGAAAAATCAGTTTCTCATGGATTTGAACGATTTTTCAATTCGCGGATTGATAGTTACTAGAAACTCTGGTTCCTCCCCTATTCATTTCGAGTTTATCTTTGTTCCGATATTCAAGTTTTGATATTTTTCAAATAGGTGTGCAAGTATTGAAACAATTTTCTCTTAAGCTTCTTCAAGTTCTTACCGGTTCTGCTTTTTGAATTTTTAATCTTTGAAAATGAGTGTTTTAATTTTTTTATGAGATGGTACATTGTAAAGAGTATTCAGTGGAGCAAAAATTGATCTTAAACTATAAGCGTGATGAAAACATTTTTCTCCTAATTTGCAGTAAAATGTATAATTTTCACAACATTTAGTTGGGAATAAGCTAATTATTTGGAATTTCTTTACCTGGAATTTTAGCGATTTTCTCAGGTCATATTCATGTGTCTTGATATTCTAGAAAAATCATTCAACATCAATCTTTTAACGACGGAAGAACAAACGCGTTTTAAATTGAGTTCTGACTAAATAACGTGACTTTTTAGCTTTGAAATTTTGCAAGTGTCTACTGCATCGCCAGTCCGCCTAAACTTATCGGTCTCTGAAAAAATTGCTTTTGCATTGATATTAGCAATTTTTTCTTGATTTGAAGATTGATGTTTTCTACGTGCTCGGTAGAAATTGCAAGTTCTTACTTGTCCTGATTTTGGAACTTCAAAGTTTTATAAATAGGCTTGCAAGTGCCTAGTTTATCACGTTTCGGTCTAAAGTCAAACTTTAGTAAAAAACCCTTTTTTGTATGAATTTCAGTAATTGTTTCTACATTCGCAGACTATTCCATTTACTCTCGTTCTTGAGATTTCAATTTTTGAAAATTAGTTGCGAAAGTATCGTATATATTTCGAGGCGCCCAAAAAAATAAGGTTTTGCCTGCATTTGCGACATTGTTTTTCCATTTGTATACTGTTTTCTGTATAAACTGTATACATTTGAAGTTACCGGCAATCCAAGCTTTTGAGCCCCGAATATTTAGAAATCGGTGTACAAGTAGGTATCTAATATATCGCAAATCCGCCTAAGGTGAAAGGCGTATGAAAATTGAGGTTTTATCTGGAATTGAGCAATTTTTTGTCAATGTATAGACGTATATATTTGCTACGCGTACTGTAAAACTTGCAAGTTCCTATTGGTTGTAGGATTTGAGATATTCATTTTTGCAATGTTTTGTATTTTTCGTCTTTTGTACATATCTTATAAAAATAATTCAGAAACCCTTTTTGTCATGATGAAGCGAATAACTTACGTTTTTCCCTTTAAAAAATACTAAAAATTATAAGCATTTCTTCACACGTTGTTATAGAGTCACAGGAAATATAAACAACTTAAATTTTCAACAGAAATCTCGGTAGAAAACATGGTAAAATGCAACTTAACTGCGATGACGGAACATATGCAAGGGCAGTAAAAGAACAATAATAAAGCTGCTGCAAGTACAGCTGGATAATTGGAGAAAGTATGATTTGTTTCACTAGCAATATACAGACCATCAAGCATTTACTTGCAGTTAGTAGCAGTCGATGAAGGACAATTACAGTCAAAAGGCGATTCGTGGAAAATATGATTATTCTTGCAATTTGCGCTTCAAGATGGTAGGTATAACTTGAAGAAAGTCTCGTAAAAATTAAAATCTTTATTAAAAACAATAAATAAATAAGTTTTCCCTAATTAGTTAGCACTTAATGATGGTAATATTGAGCAGGAGCGGCGTAGGCAGCTGGGGCAGCTACAACAACTTTGTGGGCAGCTGGAGCTGGATGTACTGGATGTCCAGACCTTTCAACTACTGCGTTGAATCCATTGTGGTCATCAGCAGTATAGTGGACAGTCCTCAAGGTACCATCGGGTTCAGCCACAGTGTAGGAACCCTTTACAACATCTCCATCACGGATTTCGTGTTGACTCTTGTGGTCTCCGGTATGAGGGTCTTGTACTCCATAGTTGAACTCATACTTGGGAGGAGCGTAGTAGTCTTGGCTTTCAGCATGTCCATGGACTGGTACTGAAGCGTAGCCGTGATTGACCGATGGGAGTTCGAAAACTCCTGCTTGGGAAACAGCTACAAGAGCTGAGACGAAGAAGATCTGAAAATTGAAATAAATGAGCACTGAAATTTGTTTGGGCTGGAAACTTATTTACCTTGGCGAACATTTTTGATTTGGTTGATTTGGCTGTTTCAGCTTCAGTACTGAACTGACGAATAAATGACCCGGTCACACTTTTATATCAGACATTTAACCTAGACATTCACCAGACAAAAATGCGTAACTATGCTAGTTCTATGCGATAATCGTGTAAGAAAGAAATTGAAAGTGTTGTAACCATTTCGGAATGTGCTCTAGATTTTCTGATAAAATGTGGGTTATATTTTTCTTAATTGACCACTGCTATGCAATTTTTTTGAAACCTTAATTGATATGGACATCTGTCTTTCGACATTTTGATTGCAATTAAAATTAACGAATTTTTGAAAAGATGAAATTTCATATTTTGTTGTTTTTAGACAATGATTGCGATGATTTTGAACATTTTTATTTAAATGTATTTATGGTTTCATTCAATTAATTGTGCTTTCAATTCTAATATTAATTAAAAATGTATTCACAAGGCAAACCATTTTTTCAAATATTTTGACGACATAAATTAGTAATTAAATTTTAAATATCTAAAGACACACAAAACGAAATTTCCCAAATGATGCCTAATAATTATAGACAGAATTATGACAAAATTTAAGTTCGCTATGCACAAACCACTCATAACAAAATTAAAGTTTGCTATTGAGCACATATTTTGCAAATGTGGTTTGGAACGATCAAAAACATTATCTTCAGAAAACTCCCACGTAGAAACATCTTAACGTGAAAATATTGACTGCTCCTCACAAATATTTTCTCAATAGGCATCTTTTTGAAATTTCTTAATTTTTCATTTTTCACTTTTCTTCGTAACAAAGCTTTTATTATTTTTGTCTTGTGTCTCGATTTACTACTTAATATTTTAATATTTTATTTAAACAATCTGTTATCCTGCTTCTATCTCAAATAAGTAATAATGTAATTAAATCACTAATATCTAGAGAATTTACTACGATCCTAATATCTCTTTTAATTGATCTTCTTATAGATTTTTTTGAACTCGCCATACGCTTCAATCGCTTTGCACAAAAAAGGCGTTTCATGCAAAGATCAAAAACTATTCACAAATTTGCCGTTTAGTAGTCATCATCGAAACAGTGTTTATTTTTTGATTAGGATAACGATATAAACCTAATTTAGTTGGATTGTTAGTGAAATAAATAATCGCGACTACGAATTGTTCATAAATTGCCTCACAATGGGACAGAAAAAAAATAGAAACTAAATACAAAAAAAACCGTACAAGTAACTGGGTAATTTTAATGTATGCGAAATACATTGTCCAGTCAAATTGAAATGTGTGTTGAAGATTTCCGCAAATTTTAAAAGAACGACAGAAGCTCAAACGATAGGATTTTTCAGGTGGGATCATTTCAACACAAGTTTTAGATTTCTCTCTTATATCAGAAAATTTAATTTACGCAACCCTTCCAGCTTTTTTTAGAACTTTTCAAGAGAGTTTTGATTAAAGTTATAATTTCAAATTGTTTATTTATAAAGCTTATTCCAAATCCAATAAAAGTAATTCGTGGAAGTTAGCCTTTAGTAAGCAGTATTTCAAAAAAAATCAGGAAATTGAAAGTCATTTTTGTCTTGCAAAAACTGATGTAGTTTGCAAAGTTTCACTTCTTCCATCATGCCGTATGGGACCAAATAAATGAAGCAAATTTCTAGACAGTTCGGTGTAGGGAAAATAATTCCAACAATGCGACGCCCAAGTGAAAAAATATTTTTGGGGGTTTTTAATATAAAGGAAAAATTCGGGTTGATCGAGGCAGTGAATACATTTGATGCGACGCTTGAGTATTTACCGATATAGCCAATATTAAAAGGGATTTTAAATTACATTTATTTATTTGTTTAAGCTAAGAAAATAAACAGAGGCTGCGGCCAGATTTGGGTGGACCTAAGTCAACAAAACTGGGGGACTTTTGGAAGCAAAAGCTTCAAAGTATTCTGAAAATGAAAGGGCAAATTCCTCAATTTGCCGCCTCCAAAAATTGCGCTGCATCTCGGCAACTTTTAGCGCTAATTTGAAGTATTTTTATGCAAATATCGATGAATATAATATAATAATTGTGCGAAAAGTGTTCAGATTTAATTGTGGAAGTTTTCAAACAATTAAATGTTTATTAATGACGTGACTCCAAAAGAAATAAATTTCCACTCGACTTGAAATATAATCGCAAAATCCCCAGCATCAAAAGAGCTTCATGGAAAATAAGCTCTAAAATCCTGATTGGAGTTCTCTATCATAACACCCATTACTGCATGGAAAATAACGAGGCTGGAAGTAGAAACCGACTGTGCTTTTATCTACCGATCATTGATAAAGCTATGAAACAGTGTATGAAAAATCCGACGTCCAAAAAGAGCTTTCATTTTGAAAGGGTGATAAGAGCGTCATTTTAATTTTCCTGTTTGTTCTGGTTAATCCGAATGACTAGCGAGCGGTCACTTTGGGTCAATTGGAGTGCAAGCTTTCTATTAAAAAATGGCACTTTCTACTCAAAAACCAGCACGAATTTAGTTTGTTTGTTTATTGATTAAGGATGCGTTTCAAATATACAGTCAGAAATATTGATATTCTAAAGAGAAATTTGCGTTCTGTTCATTATAACAAATCTTTAGTGTTGATTTGAGTTAGTTTGGATTAGAGCGCATTGAAATACACAGTCACGCGTCATTTTTGCCCTAATTTAAACGGTTTTTGAGCGGTTGCATTGTTCAATCGACGACGTTTTCTTTGGAATTTTATTTGATTGGAAACAATCCATTGAGAGCAAAAAGCTCGCAGGTGTAGTTTTAATTTTAATCGCAATTTTTGAAAGGAGTTGAAGTCGATTTTTTCAAAAAATATTTAGCCCCTCAAAATTTTTCGAAGTAAACATTATTTTTATCCAAGAGAAGCAAGGCAGGATTACGTAGTATCGACTTTTTGGACCATTTCAGGACACAATTTTGAGCGGTTGTGATCTTTAACCGACGATATATTTCTTATTATTGACCCAAAATATTTTGTACATGGCTATTAAAGAATTTCCTAAGTAGGCAACAATCGATTAAGCAAAAAAAACAGTATGTTTATGTTACTTTTTGACCCGAAACTTCATAAGTGCTTGAGGTCGATTTTTTCAAAAATATAAGTTATGTTATTATTTATTATATTATAGCATTATGTATGTCCAAGAGAAGCGAGGAATGCTATTAGCCAATTGGAAAGTACTCTAGAAGCTTCAGTTTCAAAATAATAGAAATTTTTGGTTCATTTCAAACCGTTTTGAGTGATCGCGATTTTTAACCGAAGAAACATTTCTTATTATTGGCCCAAATACTTTGTACATACATATTTGGAAGCATCTTACGTCGGAAACAATCGATTGAGATAAAAAAAACCGGGATGTAAATTTTTTTATTTTTGACCCAAAATTTCATCAGTTTAGGTTGATTTTTTCGAAAATATAAAGTTTCTTAAAAAGTATCTAATTTTACATCTTTTTGTCTAAGAGAAGCGGGGAATGCTATTAGCTTAATCAAAAACAATCCAGAAACTTGAGATCATAAATAATCGCCATTCTTGACCCATTTAAAACAATTTTTGAGCGGTCGCAATACTGAACTGACGATATATTTCTTATAATTGATAAAAACACTTTATGCATGCATACTGGGAGCTACTTAGGGCGCAAAGAATCGAATGAGCTAGAAAACGCATATGGAAAATTTGCATTTTGGACCCAAAATTGTCTTAGGAGTTGAAGTCGATTTTTCAAAAAACATCAATCCCCTCAGAATAGTTCACATTTTACATCATTCTCAACATAAAAAAAAATAATTTTGATCCATTTTAAGCTGTTTTTAACTGGGTACTATTTTTAAGCGACAATCCCTGATTATGGACTCAAACACTTTATATGTTTTACGGATAAGCATTTTATAAAAACACAACGTAACATATTATATGTTATAGGATTCTTCTAATTTATTAATTTTTTTCTTCTATTTTTTTGTAATTGTCTCCTTTCTGTCTTCAGATTTCTGTTTTGCCGTTCAAACCTGAGATTACATATTTAGTTGATTCAATTCATTGCTATAAAAGAAAAAAAAGCACAGCCAAAATGCACACAAAATGTAATTTCGAATGCTCGTATGTAGATGTAAGAGGTCTGAAACAATTTGAAATAATTTTTCAAATATTATTCAAGACAGTGTCTCCAAAAAACTACAAATAATCTAAGTAGTCAGCTTCGGAAAATTGATGAAATATTTTAACAATTTTTCAGCAAATGTTAAAAACGCAAAATAGTTCCATTGAACTTTTGAAGATTAAGATGAATGAGTTCCATCCAGTACCATTAAAACGCTCTTCTGTAGACCCAAAGTTTTTTACATCTAAATAAATATTGCCCCTAAATAGCTGAGGAAATTGAGGAACTACACATGAGGCAATATTTTTTTTGAAAAATTTCAATCATTAATAATATGGCGCCTGTAAATACGCGACCGTGAAAACAAAATGACATCGCAGCTTGTGCGCTCCAGTATCTCCCGTGTTCTGTAATCGTTCGGATGGCATGCGAGGGTGAGTATCAACGGACCTCAAAATGTGCTGTGCGATCTCGATTTAAACTGGATATTTTTGGCGCCAAAAAATTTTGAAAGCCGGAGTTTCAGTGGTTTGCACGTTCCGGTGCATAATTTGCTTGAACTGCAAGCCCAAGTGTTGGATATTGACTTCTGCGTAAGTTTCCAGATTTATTGCACTTTTTTAAATTAATGTTAAAGATTCACGAAAATTGGTTTAAACGTATTGAGAAGGCTCTTAATTTGCCTAATCTGACGAGGATTGTTAAGGCGGTATTAATCAATCAATGGAGTAAAAACATGGAAATATTTTGAATCGACAAAAAATCGACACTGGCAGAATATTTCATTAAAACATTTTTTATTTCAATTGAAATTATTCAAAACTCAACCTCTACTGAATGTCGAGCTGTTCTTAACCTGAAATGATCATAAAAGTTGGAAAATTTCAACGGAACCCAAAACAAAATTAAATTACATCGAAAACTTGCCAGGCTTTTACAAAAAAATATATTAGTATTGTCGAGCAGTTAAAGCGTTTTTCCCTAAATTCAAGTATAAAATAATAAACATATTTAGAATCTTTTGAACGTCTCGAGAACGACAAATTTTATATTGCTGAGTTTGAAAGGACAATTAGAAAGTATATAAAAAATTCCAGAACGGTCCAAGTAAGGAAAGCTGAGAATATTTAGAAATATATTTGATGCTGAATTTCAGGTTTATAATACGTTTTCTGTATAACTAATTTTTTTAATTTCTTTGTTTAGGCCTCTAGAATTTATAAGTTATTTTCATTTAATAAAAATATTAATTAACTTAGACATAATGTGTTATTACCCATTTGCTATCAATGCTTGTAGCACTTTAATTAACTACATCTTCAAAATGATGCAACACAATTTATGTTTTTTGATCTGTTCATGAACGATTTTTAATTCCGTGTTAAAAAAGACTCAGGTAATCCGACCTGGTTCTTTAATTAAATCAGCAACGGAAAATCCCTCTTCCTAAGTAAATAATCTGCAGTCGAACTTTATGCTTTTTATTAATTAGCATCCAAGGAAATATAAAATATTTAAAATTCATCAGGCTGGATTATTTGGATTTTACAAGTTACCTAGCTCATCTCTCAATTCTCGCAATTTATCAAAGTTTAAAAATAAAAAGCTTGGAATAGGCGGTTAAGAATGTTCTTGATTTCGTTTTCCTAACGTGTGTTCATTAATCTAAACATAGTGAATTATAATTTATTGATGCACATTTCATAACCCGTGTGTTCTTTAATCGAATAAAGTTCCAATACAGTATAACGAAAAAAATATGCAAGTGTAAGTGGCTAAAATTTCTTGAAATTCCTCTATATACATGTGTAGTGTAATTCTGCAACAAGTGTAATTGAAATACAAATCCAATCGAACAGTAAATTCACTTATTTGGTTTTGCATGTTAAAATCTGACGAAAACTCAGTTAACTGCCCAAACAATTTGGAAAGCAAATTAGTATCAATTTATGCCGTTTCTAAATGAGAATTCTTACTCTTAGTCTTAGTCTGAGTCTTATAACTCCCGTTTATGCAGTCTTTACTGTGGCGTTCTAAAAATGCAATTAAGGCTGAAGACCCTATTTCGTGCGGTAGGTTATAACTTTTACGTTACTAAAGCCGTCAAAGAACCAGAGGGGCCGCTAGAAAAGATTTTCTTCCCATTAAGAACTTAAAAGGCGTAATGGACTCAAAGCGACCCTCCCTGCTTCGGATGCTACAAGACTTTCAAGTGTATTTGATAAAAAATGGATAAATAAAAGATCAGTTCGATTAGAACTTCAAAATTTTCTGTTTGAGTTTTTCATAAAAATTCTGCTAAGCACGTTTCTCATTAAAGAAATTAATTTGGAAATTTTACATGACGAAAGAATCCTTAAAACTCTGTGTAAATTTGATTATATATATTTAAAACGCAACATGTGAACACTGCTCTGCTTCAGATTCTGTTAAGCTTCTTGTCACTAAAGGCACTTTGCATGCAAATATGAAATTTTCTATCTAGCTTGAAGATACACAATATCATTTCGGTGCAAGAGGATCTGAAAAATTATAATATGGCCAGTCATAAACATCAGTAGAAAATGGTTAATAGTACGTGTGTCTAGTTTGCTGTTATCATACATACAAAAAAGCTATTTGTCTGCTGAATTTTGATTAATGGCAACATGAGCCAGCCAAGGGTAATTGCCACATAATCACGTGATATTTTATCATCCGAATAAATTTGGATGGGTTCTGAATTTTTTTATTACTCCATATTGACTTTGTTGCTTCAGACAGGTTTTAGCTGGAAGCTAGAATTTTTAGAAATACGAATGCAAATCTGAGCCATTCTTTAGCAAACAGAAACTCATTAATTACTTCATTTATAATGTTTTCTTCGTGCAGTAATTTAAGTTTATGTTGAAGATCTTTATTGGTCTTTTCCTTTTTAGCAGTTTCTTCAGTAAGTGAATTGAATAAACAGTTTAGTGAATCTCGCGAGCTCAATTTTCTGCTAGTTACTTTTTGAAGCTTTTATCCATCAGGGCCAAAAATAGTAAGAAACAAAGCGTTGATGATAAAAAAGCGCAAACAATTAAATTAGGCCCAAAAAAGCTTGAAAACCTGGACGTTTGATATTCTTCACAGAAAACTAGATAAAGCTAATATTACAATTTTCTAATCATCCCATTATGTAATATTAATTAATTCTTAATTCGACAAAGAACAGTCAAGATAAGATAAAATGCAGTACAATATATTGATGTCGTTATCATTTAATGTTAGACCCGAATACTTCAGTTAAATGCTCCAAATAGAAATAATATTTCAACAAAGTACAACATCTGCAACATTGCGGTTTAAAAGTAATATAATTGGGCCTCTATCCGGCTAGGAGATACACAATGCTATAAGCTCTAAAATGGCAAATCCCAATTTCAGCCGAATGGTCCTGGCAGCCTTACATAAAACAGGAATGACAAAACTTGCTTAGCACGCATTGAATACACATGTGTTTTTGATAGGACAATAAAATCTCCAACATAGTTTAAGTAAACCGCAATTGATCCTTGTGGCGCCCAAATTTACTTGGACCAAATTTACTTGGACCTTGTCCGGAAATGTGCATATTTACTTAAGGATTTTGCAAAACTGAAGCAATCTAACATTTATATGCTCACTGATGAGTTCAATTCGATCGTAATGGCTCAAGGCTGTGACTTTTTCGATTTAAAGCGATAAATACTCAACTTTTCAGCGGCTTTTCGAAATCCCAACAGATCCCTTCACGTTTACGACCAATAAAAATTGAAAAGAGGGTTTTCTTCGAGGATTTACGATTCGGACTTCCAATGAACTATTTATAAGAGGGCTGTTTTGTGAATTGGTGGCACTATTGAGACACAATAGCTTAATTCGCTCCAGGCGAAAAATATATTTTGGACAAGAGTTAAAGCTCAATCAATACCCAAACGGAAATTGCATGTGCAGCAGATTTATATGCGAACAAGTGTGCCAGTTGGACACCGTTCAAATGTCCTTTTTGTAAAACTTGGCCAAAACACACATATAATGAAAGATTTAGTGCTTGCCATCCAGGGATCTTTTCAGACCAAATATAATTATCTTCACAAAGTACTTTTAAATGTTCATAGGAAAAGATTAAACAAATCGAGTAACTAATTGTAAATTTTGTTTTGAAGCTTATAGGAATATTTGCTCATTTCAGTCTCGTTCAAGCAGTATCGCATTTTTAGATCTTCCCGAATTCATGGGTGGGCAATTTATTAGGGTATCCACATTTCTGGAAATATATGAGCAAATTTCCATAGAAATCGCGCTTCATAAACAAATACTTTGGTCGATATAGTTCGGTTGTTTTTCAAGTAGCAAAAAGACTAAGTCGGAATATATGCATTGGACGAGCGGGTTTAAATGGCGCAACATAAGTTTAAGCTTTTGGGTCGGATAATGCGGGAGAACAATAGGAAAATGTGTAGATTCAAGTGCAGCAAACGCACTGGCAGGCGGTCCATTTGTTCCTTTCTACTGAAGTGTTTCTGTGAAATCTTGGCTTTAAGGAGAAACTATCAACTTCACCTGTAATTTTCTAGCATTTGGCCTCAACTTAGACAACTTAGAAGGAAGGTGAATATTTGAAAATATTGCAAATTCCAGAGTACAGAAAACATACTTCTGAACTTCGCTTCCTTCTCCAAACGTTGTTTCAAGTAAAAGAAGTGGCGGAAGCCATCACATTCCACTCTGTGTCATGTTGGAGATGCAAAATTTAATCCCTGTCGATGTCTAAAACTGGGGGTGTAGAGAATATCCTTCACATCAAGAAGTTGTCAAGACTGTTCTGATGAAATGGGGAAACTTTTGCTTTTTCAAAAACTTCTCCAGCCCAGCTTAATGTGCGGGTGAAAACATTGAAATCAAAATAATTATCAAAGCTGTTTCATTTCGGGCATACTCGACAAGCACTTTGGAATTAGCAATTTTTTACTTTTAATCATCAGAGATGCTCTCTTAGCTATGCAGGATAATTTGAGGTCCAATTAAAAAATAAGCAGAACAGTGGGAAACAAATTATATTTTTCTGCTTAAAATTGCGATCTCATTTACTTTGCTAAGTGCTAAGTAAATTAAGTTTGTAAGAGAACTGTAGTTGAATTAATCAAATGAAAAAAGTGTCTACTCGAGAGAAGCTAGAAGATTGCAAAGTTCTTTGAAGTGACAAATTTCTACAAACTTTTTAATTTTTCTTTAATACCCAGTTTCACCAGCTTATTTTCTTAGATTTCCTCCAGGTTGTTTAGAAGGAAGCTTCCAATATTGAGGAAACTAATGCGACTGCCTATAGAGCAATTGAGCCCTTAATGGCTGATGCTCACTTGGCTGTTTGCTAGATGAATATCTATGTAAATTTGCTTAACCTGCTTGCGCTTTTCGATATAAAACAGTCTGAAGATTTCCATCGCAACTAAGTTTTAGAAGTTCTTAAGATTGCATTTTATTCTTGTCTGCTTTTAGAACAATTTTTTTCCTAAAAAATGTATGTATTTTTGCTTTTTGTGTATAGACGAACTAAGTGCTTTGGAAACTTTATTGGAAAGAAAACTTT